TTGAAGTGAACTGATATTTCAGAGGGGCTTAAGGTTCACAGCCTCAGAACATGTCCATACTATTCTGTGACTGTTCCAGTTTAAGGTGTCTATGGCTGACATCTAATATGTTCTCTTTGCATATATAGCATCAATGTATCATTGTAGAAATGGAATGTAAAATCATCCACACTAAAAAATTGTATGCTAAACAGAGGAATATGTGTTCCAAATCTTACGTCTTGGAAAAATCCAGTTTATCAGTTACTTCAGCTGATGCCTGTGGGAGGAGCCCTATAGTACTGCCTCCTTATAACTCTTTCTCTTATACATCCTTCCTCCCATTGGGTTTACTATATGATGTTTACAATCATTCCTAAGTCTTCATCATTTTGGTAGAAGAACCTTTGATTATCTTGTTGTGGTTGTTTTTAATACAGCAGCGGAACATGCATGAGGTATGGGGGAAAATGTAAAAAACAAACCAGGCAATCAAAGAAGTCGAATCAACCCCAGATAGTTCTTCTTGAAATAAGAAGGGAAAAAAATCGGAAGACCCTGTTCAGAAAAGAGACCTCCAACATTTGCAAGAAAATGTTTTTGTTGACTCAACACATTATTTCTGTAGTGTTTCTGTTGATGTCCTTTCTTTTCCCATTCCAGAATAATTCCAAACGTATGCCGTCTTTTCATATAGTTCCCTGAAAGGTGCTAAAAAGTGTTGTAAACTCTGAAAACTCACACAGCACTGAAGAGAAACTAACCAAACCTCCATACCATATGTCTTAATTTTCAATTTTCAGTGTGCACTGTACCACTCCTACTACACTGTCTCTAAGTGTGTTTACTTAGGAGGAAGATTTTATTTGACTTGATTCCCTAGTTTAATACTATTGCGTAAACTTTAAAAAAAGATACAATTGAACTAACATCTCTTGTAATATTTTAGGCATTTATAGGTGCATTTACCAATGTTGATACAATTAGTAATTCAATATTTTCAAGACTATTTATTGGCAGATATTATATTTTGAACTATACTAGAACATGTTTAAAAAAGCAAGAGTAATTTCTGGATGTTAACCATAACCCAGTGTTATATCAATCTAAGAAATGATGAATTGCTTCCAGTTTGTGAAAATTATTCTCTTAGAATACTTTATTGAAATATTTTAAAATACTAGGCTTAAAGCAGAAACATACATTTTCAGTTCACAATATTCTCTTTGAATCAAATCATACATGTGAGGTGAAAAGCATAGCACTATCCACAGACCACTGCATCTTATCTTCTTAAATGTAAGAATGTATATTTTTATTTACACACTGTATTCAGTCTTCTCCTTGAAACACAGCCCTACAGGACAGGTTGTTCCTTGAAGGAAAAAGGAATTTTAAGAAGATGGGGCATATATTTCAGAACCCATTATTGTCCTATTTTGATGATCAATGAAGTGGAAGAATGTGATGACATCATCTTCTTTGAGATTAGTAATTCATTGCTTCTAGCTATCAAAAGTCAACAAATAAGAAAAGAAGAATGCGGTGGCGAAAAGGTCATGCTCTAATTAATGTTATGATAGATTTATTTCAGCCTCTCTTCCTAGTAGTTGAAGGACAAATCATTCTCTGATTCAATATGTTATATGAGATCTTCTTCCAGCTTAAATCACTAATCCTTGGTTTGTTTATTTTTTCAAAGACAATGGATGCAAAGAGCAATATATTTATTTGTACATATGTCAGCATTTAAAATGTTTGGCTATACAATAATTCTATGTACAGTATATATTTAAAATCTCATTGAATTCAATAAGATTTAAGCATCCCAATTTACCCCAAATCATATCTCTCTTCACACATGTTCTATCCTAGAAATACGTTAATTTGCCACAGATAAGATGTACTCAAAATTCAGCATTTTAATGTCCCTAAGATTTCAGTAAGGAAAACATATGTACTACTTAAATCTCAATTACTGAAATCAGTAGAATTAAAAGTGCTTAATTTTGGCCAGATCAATATCTGTATTCAGAGAGCTACACAATGTCCTATAAAATGAATTCAGTTAACTTTCATTTAAAAAATAATCTAGGATATATTTACCATAAACATCTCAAAAATTCACAGATGTCATTTTTAAGACATTCGGTAAAAATTTCGTCTCATCTCATCTAAATCATCATTGGTGAAGAAAATATTAAGTCAAATTTAATTGAACTTCAAATTTAATTTAATTTCTATTTAAAATTTAAATTGAATTTTTGAAAATATATGTGAACAAAAGTCTCTTTAATCCTCAGAAGCCTTGTTTTGTTGATAAAACAGTATACCTATATTACATCTTCTATAAATTGTCCATTATTTCACATATTGAGTGCATGTTGTACATGCCTACTCAATGTAAATGTCCCATTGAGTTCAATGGGGCTAACTAGAAATAAATTGAGCATAGGAAGTATCACTTTTAACTGCTGTAACCTATTTTAATTAGACATTACATACAAAGCTAAAATGCAATTTCTGTTCAACATAAAATGCCACCCACAATCATATCTCTCTCTCTCTCTCTCTCTCTCTCTCTCTCTCTCTTATGTATGTATGTATGTATGTATGTATGTATGTATGTATGTATGTATGTATGTCCGTGAAGTTTTCTTGTTCTTGTGAAATCCTATTTGAGCATTTTCATTTATTTTGAAACAATAGTGACATCAATTTTTTTAAAAAAAAAACCCAATGCGTCATGGTTGAACAAGGCATGCACTGTTCTGTTTGCTATTGTAATGTGTCATCCACTGCTGTTCAGTTGTAATTTCTGAAACATCACATGAAATGTTTAACATTCCCAACACTCCGCATAAGAAGGAGTATTTAAACCATTAATAATCACATTGCTGCTGATGTTTCATCTCTTTTCTTTGTACCAAATTCAAAAATCAGTGATAACATGAATGAAAATTATGACAAGAAGGTTTCTGAATCAATATAAGAATTTTAGAATCATTTATTGATCATTCATTATTCATTTAGATTCACTGAAATCTCTTTTGCATATATTTATAGTATAAATGTAATATTTCACATTAATATTGACTTTTTGCTAATGCAGCATGTTTAGACTATCTACTTCAAGAGAACAGAATGCTACTAAGCTCAAAAAAGAGGTGTTTTTAAAGCCTTGTTTACATGCAATGCTATCTTCTGCATATTTACTCAGACGTAAGTGCCACTTAGTTCGATAAAGCTTAGTCTGAAATCACCCCCCTAAAAGTGCAGCAAATATGATGTGGGGGAGCTGAGAAGAACTCAGTATATCAGCTTGGCTGGGAGTCTTACATGGATGTAATTATATTCGTAGTTAATTTCTGCAACCCAACACTCTACAGGTATATTCAGGTTAGGCTAGAGTTCAATTCCTTAAAGAATCCTGCCTCAGGGGAAAAGTGGGTAGCAAGAATGAGTCTGGCTGTGTTAGGCAAATGCTTGTTCAGTGACCTTCATTACCAAAGCTCTTTGCTTTCAGGAGCATCTCAGGCATTGTGTGTCACTGTTGATATCATTGTGCATGAAGAGTGCAAACGGGAGAGAACAGGAAGAGACCAACAATCAGCACAGAAAAGAGGCAAAGCTTTGCATATGGCTGATAACGCAATTATCTTCCCAACATGTGTCTGATACTAAGCAAACCATCAATGGCAAATAGTTGTCTTTCATGCAGCAACAGGCATCTCCTAGTCATAAATTCTGGTCTTATTTAAATAAGGAACTTTCCTTACAAATGTCACTTCATGTCCCAGAGCTGGGTGTTTTAGTTGTTTGTTTTTTTTNCTCCAATGCTACACAATTGTCTTGTATCGAAGAAATCTTTCTTTATGATCAAACTCTACAAAAACCTTTTCGTGTGATCACATTGTACAAAAAGTGGACGTTTCTGAGGATCATATTAAAGTCGCCGTTCACAGTAAAAGAGTGTAAATCAGAGTTATTTGTTTTCTGAAAGCCCGACGCGGAGTTCGTTGTGACTTCCAACCTCCAAAATACCTAATGATGCTGCTCAAGAGTGACGAATATTTCCCACGATTTAGGTTCTTGGCCCCTATTTTAATGTATGGCAGCAAGGATCGTATCTCAAGCGATGGCAAGGGCCCTTACACACCAAAACAGGGTGCAAAGTACCTGTGCAGGGCAGGTAAATTCCACAGGTAGAAATGACTGCAAGCAGGGAAACCTGTGCACACCGGAAAAAACCCGCGCCTCTGTCTTGACAATGGTGTAAACAGCGGGGAACGACCCTGACCAAGGCACCAGGCGCCAAGGATGGAAACAAGACAACCCATCATCTCCTTCTGAGGTCTCCAACACACACACACCTTCCTGCTGGAAAACCGAGCAAGCAAACAGGTAGCGGGCACTTCGGGCTGTCACCGGCAAAAAAAGGGACGTGACAGAAGTAGTTAAACGGGGGGGGGAGTGAGTGAGGGTCGCAATTCGAAACAAGGAGCTGGTTAAGAACGACTATTTCCAAAGAAAGAGACCAAGGTCGGGAGCAGGAGGGCCGGATTTCCGAGCAGGAGCGCCATGGGGAGCCCTGCGGGCCAAGGGAGAAGGGTGCCATCTCACCACATGCTGACCCCCGACACCCCCTCACCACCCTCGGGCAAGCCTCCCCCTCCCTTCCCTCCCCTCTCCCTCTATTCCTCAAACCCACCGCCCCATCATTAGACCCGCTCCAGGTCCCCATTCCCGCTCTTCCCCACAGCACCTCAGAGGACCTTTTTGCCTTCTGCCTTTCCGGACCTCCCCCGGCGCCCATTCCTCCTCTTCCTTCACCTCCTCCCCCTCCTCGCCCCTCCGGCGTCGTGCAAGCTCTTCCTTGGACCTCTGGCTCTCTCCCTCTTCTGCCCCCCGCACTTCTGCCCCTTCCCCCCAGCCTT